ACTCCCACCCCCCTAGTCCCTGTACCCTCGAAGATCCCCTGCTTCAAGAAAATAGCTACGTCATCTTCCTAGCTCGCAGCGCCGTCTCTCACGAGCCCCAGGACGTAGCCAATCTCCCGAGTAATGTCTCTGCAAGAGCTCTTCCAGCGAGCATCGATGGATGAGAGCTCTGCCCCTAAACGGGGAGACGCAGGTCCGTCAGGTGGAGATTCTCCCCTGAAGCGACAGCGTCTCATGGCAGCCTCTTCCTGAGCCAGACGCCTTGCGGAGATGCTCCCTTAGGAGGAGATTCTCCCCAACAATCGGAGGAGTTTCTCCCCTTGCCATGTGTGTACAGCTGGTGGAGTTTCTCCCCAGGGGTTTTTAAACAGTAGGAGAGCATCAGGTGGAGCTTCTCCCCTTGTCTTGGTGGAGTTTCTAAGCTAGAGTACTCTTTCGAGACAGCAGCTGAGTGCAAAATGATCTGCTGCCAATCAGCCAGTGATACATTGCAACCAAGCCGGTTAGCTTTCAAGCTAGTGCCGAAATCATAACGCCGCATAAGACTCTGAAGACACATTCGCTTCCCACTTCACAGCTTGCAGCCCTGAGGAGCGTGTGCAAGTGCAGCGCTGAGGCACGGCTTGCCGTGAAGAGTGACCGCGCAAGTAGTAAGCAGGGCACTAGGTCGATCCCTCGCAAAGCGTGGACGATAAGTTTCACCACAGACAGTCCTCTCCCGCTGCGTGTGAATGAATGCTGGTGTTCTTGTTGTTGCTGTTGTTGTTGTTCTTGTTGTCAGACAGACGTGTTGCTGCTGCTGTTGTTGTTGTTGTTGCTGTTGTTGTTGTTGCTGCTGCTGTTGTTGTTCTTGTTGTCAGACAGACGTGTTGTTGCGGTTGTTGTTGTTGTTGTTGTTGCTGTTGTTGTTGTTGCTGCTGTTGTTGCTGTTGTTCTTGCTGTTGTTGTTGTCGTTGTTGTCGTTGGGTTGTTGTTGTTCTTGTTGTTCTTGTTGATGTTGTTGCTGCTGCTGTTGTTGTTGTTGTTGTTTGCTGTGTGTTGCTTGTTGCTTGTTGCTAGTTGTGTTAGTTGCTAATTGTGTTAGTTGTTAGTTGTTAGTTGCTAGCTGTTAGGTGTTAGTTGTTCGTTGCTAGTTGTTAGCTGTTGGTGTCAGCTGTTAGTTGTCAGTTGTTGGTTGTTATTTGTGATTTGTGAGTTGTTAGTTGCTTCTTGTTAAATGTTAGTTGGTTCCTGCTTATTGTTCCTTGTTTCTTGTTTGTTTTTTGTTCTTTCTTGTTTCTTGTTAGTTGTTTGTTGTTAGTTGTTTGCTGTTAGTTGTGTTAGTTATTTAGTTGTTCGTTGTTAGTTGTTTGTTGTTTGTTACAGACAGACAGACGGACAGACAGACATGGATACTGCGGCCTGAAGGGTGCACGTCGCCCCGAAGGGCTGTCATGTGTTCGCTGTCTTTGCAATTCTGGAGTGGTCGTAGTGGTTGCAGTTCTTTTTTTTGCAGTGCTGGAACAATCGTAGCAATTGCCGTTTCTCTTTCTCGGCAATACTGCAGCGGTAATAGTAATTCCAGTTCCTGCCTCCCACAAATCCAAAGATGGAATACGCAGGTTCCACGGAAATCGTGTTATGCAACGGCGGTCGTTTTTGTATACAGCTAGGAAAGCAAAAAAAGCAAGAAGGCCTCCTTGTGCAGGATATATATATATATATGTATATTGTGATACTTCTTCCGGCGTTTCCTGGGTGGGTCGATGCGACAGCAAAGTTCCAAGTTTTGCTTTGGGGTCGAACGCCAGGTTCCAACTTTCTTTTTTGGTGGGTTTCTGATCATGCTTTAGCCTCCCTGATTAAAGTTGGAACCTGTGGTTTGAGCCAATATGCTCCTGTAGAGATCGTAAACGGAAGTCATCAAGGCTACGCGTTCTTGCAGGTTTGAGAGTTTAGGGGTACAGGACCAGGAGAGACCAGGGGACCAGGGAACCAGGGACCAGGGGACCAGAGGACCAAAGGACCAGGGACCATGGGACCAGACCTAGCAAGGCCCCCCAGACCGGACCAGACCTAGGAAAAAAAACCGTGGACCCGTTACAGGCGCTTTGGCCAAAACACAGTTCAAAAGTTCTTGAGCAAGCGGTTCCATGAATCGCATCGCTTCCTTATGTTTGTCCGGCGATGCAGAGGAGTGGCAGGCTTTGGCTGCCTCATCAAGAGAAACACCACTCTCACGAAGTTTCTTCAACAACGCTGTGATGAGCACCAAGTCTTGGCCACTTCGAGCCCAGACGATACTCTGATGCCGTCCTTCCGACAGCAACCGGAATGAGAAATCTCCAAGGCCTCGGTGGGAAAGCTCAAAGGCACGGATGTCACTGACATCACGGCCGGCTAACCCTGCTTTCCGGGACCACTCTGTTGGTTACACCAACTTGTGCAGCACATGGGCACCCTTGCCCAAAGGCGTTTTGTCATAGTGCTGCTGATCAGAAACAAAAGACGAAGGCAAAGTGAAAGATTGATATGTGGGGCTGGCTACATGCTCCCACGATTTCTCAGAGTACTTGGAGTCCCATTTGTCGTCTTTGCCCCATCGGTTCCATTGTTGTCTGTTGTCCCAGCTGTTGCTGGAGTCGCTGGTAGACCATGATGACCAGGAGGCCATGGCAGAATGAGTTGTCCAGGGGAGAACAGTTGCTTGATCAGACTGACGGCTGTTGTGAAACGAAGAGGCATCAGTCCTGTCTGCAACTAGGCGATCAGGCCTGGAACTGAGATACGATTGCTTCGTAAAGCATTTGCGAAAGCGAGACCAAGAGGTCTTGATTTGGGTTTAAGCCGATCAGGGCTCGGACCGTTCAGGGTCCTGTGATTATGACTGGGCCGATCAGGCCCGGCAGTCGGCTACCCTACCGTAGACGACACGATCGACGAAAGCCGTCTAGAGCACACTCGTGCAATCCTCCCTCTGGACTGAAACTCTCTCTCGAGAATTTCAATCGGAACATTCAGAGGTGTAAGAGGATTTAGGCTTTACCTCTGGCCTTAATCGAAATCATATATGGGGTTTATGGCTTGGCCCCAGTGCCATTCCAATGCAGGTACACAATCTGGCGTCCCAGATTGCTTCACAGCACTTCTATCACCGTCTTCGTTGGGCAGTGGATGATAGAAGGCTCACTGCCCCCTTCAATTTTAGCGCATGTCAGCAAACCTTGGCAAACAGGTGTTCCACACACACACACAGACACACACAGACACACACACACACAGACACACACACACACACACAGAGACACACACACAGAGACACACACACAGAGACACACACACACACACACACAGAGACACACACACAGAGACACACACACAGAGACACACACACAGAGACACACACACACACAGACACACACAGAGACACCCACAGAGACACACACAGACACACACAGAGACACACACAGACACACGCACACACAGAGACACACACAGAGACACACACAGAGACACACACAGAGACACACACAGAGACACACACACACAGACACTAACACAGAAACACTAGCACCAACTAACTATCACACACACACACACACTAACACACACACACACTAACACACACGCACACACAGACACACACACACAGACACACACACACACACACAGACACACACAGACACACAGACACACAGAGACACACACACGTGCAATCCTTCCTCTGGACTGATAATGATTTCGATGAACTCAGTCTTCCAACAAAGAGGTAAAGGATTTGAAGCCACTAGGCAGTAACATCATCTGATGGGGTTCTTGGCTTTGCCCCTTGCCACATCACTTGAAAAAGACACGAACACTCTCTGCAGGTACGTGGAGTCTTCGTTGGGCAGTGCCTTCCAGAATGTCCACTGCCCCCCTGCAAGACTGAAAAGCTAAGCGAAAAGACCTTGGCAAACAGGTGTTCCACACACACACACACACTCACTCACTCACTCACTCACTCACTCACTCACTCACTACTCACTCACACTCACACTCACACACTCACACACTCACAGACTCACACACTTACACTTACACTCTTACACTTACACATACACACACACACACACACTAGCTGACACACTATACTTGAGTGTGCTGCAGGCGCTAAGACCCGAGTGGCGCGAGTGCCTTGGACGACTCCGTGGCCAAGGCCTGGGCCTCAAAGGCCTGAGGTTCAGGATCGCCAGTCTGCCAGCTAGGCCGCTGGGCGAGCGGAGTGGGCCATGTGCTTATCGGTGCCGACAGCTGTGTGCTGCAGCGTGGCGCTCGATGCCTGGAAACTCAGGGAGGCGGGCCTTCGGACTGACAGGCTCAAGAGAGGTTGTACAGCAATAGCAGGCAAACGGCACGGCTACGAAGGCTGTGCAAAGCCCTGTTCCTTCCGAGGTCCGTCGTGGTGTCGGGAACGCGCCCGCCGACCGCAGCCCGACCCCGTGATCTCACAGAGGGAGAAGAAGATCCCGACTCCGATGCGGTTCCGCCCCGAACCTGAGAAAGAGTGGCAGGAGCTGAATCTCGTGCCAGGACAGTGAAACTCCAAAGATGCAGAGTCGACAAAGATGGCCAGACCAAGGCAGTCGGGTGCCGTGATAGCGCACAACAGGTCTGCACAAGCGCGTGGTCTGGACGGGGTCGCGTGCCTGTCGCCCGACACCGGGACTGGAGACACCTCCTGGTGGCGAAAGGCCGCGAGTCATGGCGACGGAGCCGCGAGGCCGGGCGGTGATTTGAGTCTCTGAGGTGCACTGGAACACGCAAGGCACAATGGCCTAAACCGAAGGAACCACCGAACGGTCGAGCGACGCAAGCAAAGTCAAGTGAAAGAGCCAGAGCCAGAGCCCAGCCACGGTCAAGGCTCAGGGGCTATGGCCAGGGTTGGGTGCCCTCTCAGGCTTTGACGGCCATCTGCGTCGCAACCACCATTTATTCACAATTCACGATATCCTCATCAGCTTCATACCCTCATTGGCCGCCTCGTTGCTGGAGGAACAAGCGAGGAGGGCCTCCTCCGACTGCTTCAGCAAAGCTAAAGCGAATCGCAGGATGACCTCGCGATGACAATAGTCGGTTGCAATTCAAAGCAACGTTCGTGAGACTCAGACTTCTCTGCCTCACCCAGCTTTCTGAACTTCCCTTCCCGCCTCGCTGCCCTCGCCAAGGAAGGCACCCACAAGG